TTGAATGTGCCATCTAATAAATAGTGTCGTCATTCTCCTTAGCTGGTTTTAAATTATGTCGTTACCAATTGCTGGTGGAGACATGAATACAGTGTAAGAAAATTCTTTCTCCATAATTGTTTCCTTATAGAAAAGTTGGTTTCTTTTCCACCTTAAGGTGTTCTTACACGATATGTTTTTGCATGTGTACATGCCACTTTTTACATATGGAAATGCCAACGTATCGTGTATAGGCAAATTAGATTTGTTTCTGTACAAAGCATATGCACGTACATACGAAATAGAAATGTTTCTATTTTCATCTGACACACAGATAGAAACATCTAAGGTTACTTACTTCGTTTTCAAACATCGTATTTTTAAAAAGTTAAATAAAGACTGTGAATTTGACAGACATACGCAATTACATATGTATTGAAAAAGTCACATTTACAGATGCAAATACATATCGTGTAAGAACACCTTTAGACATTCCGAATTCGTTCAAAATATGCTAATTTAAAACACAGAATTCTTTCAGTGTTCATCCGAGGTTTTGGACATGGACTGTTTCTTCAATTTAATAGTGTTCGCTTTATTTTTGTGGAAACGAAACATAATTTGCAAGTTATGGATCATTTCTACACTCTTTCTTCAAATATTACTCGTATTCCAGCTGTGCGCAGGCGTTTAGTGTTTCGCATCGTGTTTTTACATATTCGTAATTTAATTTTTTTTAATAAAATCAAATGGTGGTAGTTCATGATTGTGTGTGGATTAATATCACAACACTGAGGATTTGGCAATAACCTTTTTCATCTATTAAAAAACAACACTTACGGGGCAATGTTTATTGTAAGAACAACATTTTTTTCTATGAATCGACATACTTTAAGCATTGTTGACGCTATTTCCATTTGAATGAGGAAATAGCGTCAATGACTTTATTTCCAAATTTTTGTTGACTTTATTTCGCACCAGGGTGGGAAATAAAGTCAATTGACCTTATTTCCATTGACCTTATTACCTGTCACCCTCTTAGCCACTTGCAACTTGCACTTTGTTATTCTAAAATTTAATTATCTATAAAACTGCGTACTCAAATTATTTACAAAAACCCAGAACTAAAAAAATAGTTTTGGTGCACATTTTTTTATAACAATTCAAATTACTATTTTTTTGATTTTCACAAGAGAATCGAGTTTCTTAAAAATTCCAACTTTTTCTGCACTTTGCACTAAAAAAATTAATACAAACAAACCAAAATTTAGAAATCGGGCTCAGCTGGTCTCTTGCAAATTTGAATAGCTTTCATTAAACAAAAAATAATGAAATTGAGTGAAAAATGAAGGCTCCAGTGAATTGTGAACACAAAATGCCAATTTTGAACCACTGTGCGCCGATCGATAAATTATGACGACCAAATGTGAGGCAGTGAAACAATTAACGCTTGATAATTAACTTTTAAACTGTTTTGCATTGTGAAAAAGCTACTAAAGTTCTTTTATTTTTTGAAGTTGGAAATTTATCTTGTATCGAGTTAACTGCCTTATTATGTATCACAAACGATAGGCAACACGAACGATTCAGACGACAACGTGTCTGAATGCGATTTTATTACTCTATCGGTCGTCTTCGTCATCTCGGTTGCCTTTAGACCGGCTAGAATGATGCCGCCGGACTAATTTTTGAAGCATTTCTCTGCAGACGAATCGTTCGCTCGCTTTGTGGCCATATTTGTGGAAGCCGAATACGGGACAAAAAATTGTTTTCCAAATTTGTTTCACAAAAACTTACAGATCTGAAAGAACGTCCTTATAGTAACATCACAAATGTGTAGGATACTTCTCTGGAGATTTTTACCCCGCAAAATTTGTTTAAAAAATCGTGAAATTTTAGTGTAAAAATATGCAAAGTGTAGTTAATTTTTGGATTTTATTTTTGTTGGCGGTATTACGCATTTTTTTCATACAAAGTACATATGTTCGACAATTATTAAAAAGAGAAGCAAAAGAGCAGCACTTTCCACTTATACTCAATTTAATCAGCTACAAAACTGACGAGTCGTCTGACGATATCGTGTTTTCGATTGTCTTGCTTCATGAAAATTAGAGACTATTTCAGCGGACACGACCTATCTTATGGGATTTTGTGTTAACTAAAACTCACCACCGCAGGACCGCTTTTATTCCCGTTTCCTCTTTCACTTTTTGTCCTCTCTCTTTCTTTCCGTCTTCTGAATCCAACTTCAACACGTAACGCCCTGTCAAAAATAAAAATTCGATCCAGATTTTTGACAGTTACAATTACAATTTAGGGACAGCAGTAAACGCCTCTTATTTTAAAGAGAATATTTAGAGAGAAATTTTAAAAAATCTATTCACAAATATTTTGCAGACCGCTAGACTCACCTTTGCTTAGCTACCTTATAGCAATAAAGTATAAGATTAAAGATTAAAATGTGCTATAAAAAATAAAAATAACAAAATCCTTGTCACTATTAATTGAACCCGAGAGCAACAAAATCGAAAACCATCCATTCAGCCACATTAGCTATTGACACCAAAGTGCAACCTCTACCACATTCGTGGTAGATCTACCACATATTTTTAAAAATTTGGGTGCCTACCACTTCTACCACACAAGGCTTAAAATCTAGCACATTTTTAGGCAGAACATATGTTTACAATTTTCACATACATAACTCTAAACTCAATTCTTATAAGAAATATAAAAATTAATAAAAAAATTTTTAAAAAGTACATCATAAATTTTGCTGATTTTTTGCATAAATCAATCTGTAGGATTTTTCTCAAATAACTCTAGAATTTCAACTCAATTCTTATAAGAAATATATAAATTATTCAAAAAATTTTTAAAAAAGTACATCATAAATTTTGCCTTAACTTTTTAATATTTCAAAAATCCGCATATTTATATTTGCTTAAGTATTGTGCAATGGAAAAATTATTTGGTCGATTTTTTTTCATAAATCAATCTGTAGGATTTTTCTCAAATTAATAAAAATATTTTTTTCTTCATGATTATATTCTCTAACTAGGAAACTAATGTGATACTTGTTTTTGCATCAATTGCGTTGAATCTGAACTAGCACTTATATTTCCCAATCGAATTTTTGACTTGTGCCTCTTTTGACGACAGTGTGCGATATGTATACCCAATAAAAATATGAATTGGAAAATCTACCACATCTTATTCAAATCTACCACATTTTTTTGCGGATTCTACCACACTAAAATAAAAAGGGGTTCGCACACTGGTTGACACACCAGGGAAAAATTAATTCTTGAGTTTATTTTCAAAATTTGTATTTTATTAAAATTTCAAATATCGAAGTTTACCAAAAACAATATAAGTAGAGTTCACTATTTAATGCGAAAATGCGAAAGACAAAAATTAGCGTTTGTTTTGTTGCTTTGCTGTGCGTTTGTGCGAAACGGCGCCAAAACGGTGCCATATGTTTGTTGTAAAAAACTGCCGATTTTCGCACTTTCGCTCAAACGCCCCCATTTTCGCATCAAAGATTGAACTCTAAAAGAGTGATTTTCAAACTGTTGAAGACACTACAATAGTCGACACGATAGTAAGTAACAAAAATACATGAAAATACATGAATCAGTGTTTTGACGACTTCGTTTTGCCAATATCGTTTGAACGACTATCGTGTCAAAGTTACATGATGCATGCCCGGTTTATGGAGAAAATTACAATCATATACATACCAACATCCCTTAAAACTGGCTCATACGCATGCCATTTTAATGAGAGGTTAAAGCTTCAAACGGACACCGAATACGGGACAAATACAGGACACTAAAAGAAATACAGAACATTTGGCGCCCCGCATAAAATGAATAAATTACCAGGACAATGGGTCAAAAAAGAGGACTGTCCCGTATAATACAGGACGGATGGTCACCGTAGTGATACATAATAAGGTTGTAAGAGAAGGGTGAAAAAAAATGAGTTTGAGGAAAAATTTTATTCAGTTTTGTTTGTAATGATAACGATAAATATGCATCCGTTTGGTTAGTTTTTGAATACTTGGCTTTTTATTAATAATTCTCGTATACCTTTACCTTTTTTATAGATATTGCACAAAACAAATCGATTTTATACAAACGGCTACTCACATCACCAAATAGCGTCGGATTATGTAATTACGTTTGTAGACTCTCCGCCGAACTCTGAGGAATCGTGGACAGGTACGTCTTTTCATGTTAAAAAAATTGTTACACTTAATTTTAATTTGATATTAAGATTTTCCTTTTTAAACTGAATTTGTAGAAACTGAAATTTTAAATCAAACTAATTTTATTAATTCGAGCTCCGCTCCCAATAGAAAACCCTTTTATTTTCTTATTAACTTACACCTGGAGCCCTAACCGCCAAAATAAAACATTGACGACATTTTTATGAAAATTTTCTTTTTGATGCAGAAATGCATCTAGATGCTCAAGGAGCACTTCTGCGTCCAAAAGAAAATATCGCTTACTTTATTTTGGCGGTTAGGCTCGATATATGTATGCAATAATGTTAATGTAAAAATGAATGCATTAATTTCTGAAATTTAATGCAAATAAAAATTTCATTGCATTAATTCTGAAAAACATAATGCTAATGAAATTTGTTTTCATAAAATTATCCAAACTAAGGCTGATGAAAAATTTTAATGCATTCAAATTTTTAATAATTTTGCCAGTTTGCATTATTAAAAAGCATTAAATTTTTTTTTAGTGAAATATAAATAACCTTTTTTGGAAGGACATCGTATAATTATTAATAATTTTTTCAGCTTCATACTATTATGTTTATTTGTAGAAAAATTCTTGTAAACATTGTTAGATGTTTTATGAAACAAAGCAATGTGCGTGCAACTCAGTGTGCTTTTTTAGATTTTTATGTTGATTGTTGATGCATATCAATTATATCATGTACACGACTGAAGACCCATTCTGATCTAAATCAATCAATAAACCGTTTTTTAGTTCCATTGGACAATGTTATTTTACCTATTTGACGACAAATGCCATTGAATTTGTCATATTGAAAACCAGCCTTAACTTCCGCCACTATCTTTTTGACATCGAAGTTCTACGATCTTCTCATATTAGCTTATTCTGCGATTGTATTTTACAGCGATAAATACTTGAGCAAACGAGCGTTCGAGAAAACATTGCCTGCGTTTTCGTTCGTAAGAGATCGTATGCAGAGTTTATGTATACACATTAGGAGCGTTCCTTATCTCCCAGAAATAGTCAGGAAAAGTCCGAAGTAGTCAGATTTAGTCCAAAAAGCGTTCCTTAACTCGGAAATGACAGCAAAAATGAGAGAGCAACCCTCGGTGAGAGTGACTCTCATCAGTCCGAAGTAGTCAGATTTAGTCAGAAGAATTTTTTCTGGCAAAATCCTGAAAAGTGTCAAACTCAACTGAATTTAAATTAACGGAAATTAAAGAATACGCAAAAAGTGAGAATAATCTAAAAAGTAGAAAAAGTGAATTGAAATTGGAAGGAGGCAAAAATAATTGATATAGTAAGTGTTTATTGTGCTTGTGCTTGTGTGAACGTGTTTTGTACATAAATTTCCATTCTTATTTCATGTTAGCTTTGTTGTTGCCATTCTTTGGACTAAAAATTTGGTTTTTTGCGTTCCTTTACTTTTCCTGTTATTCTCTTTTAGTGTGCGCATTTTGCTTACGCTCTGGCATTTTGACACTTTTCAGGCTTTAGTCCAAAAAGATAAGGAATCAACCTATTGCAAACGAACGAGCGTACGAAAGCGATCGTCCGTGGCAAGAGCGCTGGTGCAGAAAATCGTAGCGCGCACTCTCTCGCCAATGAAAACATAGGCAATGCTCTCGCTAACAATCGTTTGCTCAAGTATTTATCGCGGTAAAATACAATCGCAAAACGAGCTAATATAAGAAGATCGTATTTTTAATCGTTCGCGATCGTTCGTTGGTAGAGTGTGGGTACACAAATATTTGAATTTAGTATATTTTGATACGAATGAAGGCAGGTTATTCGCTTTTTGATATAAAAATGGGCAAAGTATCGAATATTGACTAGACAAAACTTGTTACATATAATAAAGACACAAATTTTTCGAAGTGCCTTTTGTGCGAAAAACAACTTAAAGACTACATATTAGGAAACATTAAAAGACATAACGAAACTATACACAAATATAACTTTAATGAAAGCGGTCCATCTGCAAGCGACAATAATGTTTCCAAACGCCGAAGTTCTAACCAATTTGCTCTAAAATTAAATAAAAAAAGGTTTTTTAAAGTGTTGTGTTGGATTGGTAACCGTGAAAAACATTCCCTTTCGACTTTTCGATGACGAGCTTTATTTCAAGCAAATAATTGGACCCTATGAAAATCAATTTAGTTTACAATTAAATTCAAAAAATATTGTTGAGCATATAAAGCTGTTCGCAAATAAAATAAAATATCTTTTGAAAAAAAGTTTGTCCAAGAAAATGTTAAGCTTAAAAGTCGATGTAGCTACCAGAATGGGGAAGAGTAGGTTGGGAATAAATATCCAAAATATTAAAGATTTTGAAATTGTGATAAACACAATTGGCATCATGATTCAATAATACAAGGTTGGATAACCTGGCAGTTGTCTCGCTCCCGCATTCTGCCTTAGCGTGTGTTGCCTTCTTTTTTGATTTATAAAAACTACTCTTAAAATACAAGGAGAAATATTGTCTTCGTATACAAAGTTCAACAGGCAACACTGCCGATATTTTCATCGATTGTTTCGAGGAAATTCATTTTCTTATTGAGCAAATTCAAGTAAGTAAGGCAAAAAAATCAAAAATAATGGGTATATTTTGAATTACAACAACAATTTACATATTTATTTTGCAAAAAGTAGTATCCCTGTATCCATCCACGTATGGTAGTACAAATATTAATAAATATATTCTCTTGTGAAGGTCAGGATCATTTGGGTGTCCGTCCACGTTTGCTGGTGCATGTATTTTTACCACTGCAGCCTTTGGGTTGATGAAGTGCAGCATTTGCATATATACAAGTAAGTATACCACTCCATAAAAGCGAAAGTGGAAATATTAATAAAGGTATTTTCTTGTGCTGATTGTGACTGATTGCAGAAAAAAGTACGCAACATTACAAAAAATTAACATTTTTAAAAACCGAAATGTAATGTATTGAAGACATATTTTTAAAGTTTAACCGATATAATGATTAACAAGACTGATTGGAGAAAAAAGTAAAAAACATTCCACAAAAATTAGATTTTTAAATAATCAAATGTAATTAAATTGCGATATTGAAGATCTAACTTTTAAATGTAACCAATATAATGATTAGTAAGACTGATTGGAGAAAAAAGTAAAAAAATTACTAAAAAATTTAAATTAAAACAAAAAATGTAATTCAATTTAAGATATTGAACATGCAATCTTTAACTACAACAAATATACTACTTTTTAAAAGATTAATTTATATGCATTAAATCAGTTGCATTTTTACCATTTGTATAATTCTTCATATAGTCCCTTTGAATAAAGGATTTGTTTGAATTCCACTAATTTTGTTAAATATATATATCAATTAAACCAAGGTTTCTTTTGAATATTTGGGAATATTTCTTCAAAGGCTTCAAAGATTTATCTTTGGCAAGAATTTTATGTGAATATCCATTTATTTCATTTTTAATATTTATGTGGCCATAAAAAATTAATTCATTGTCTATTGTGTAGATCAGTGGAATCTTCTTTATATATTTAATTCAATTTGTATACAAAAACGCATTTCAGCACTACCAGACTACTTACTTTTCCTACTACCCTTACACAAAAGGGGATAAAATTGTGACCCGCTTCTCTTTCCTTCTTAAATGCAACCTTACAAGGCAGTCGATTGACACAAATGTCAATATTTATCCAACCTTGTATTATTGAATCATGATTGCCATGATACAATTGAAAAAGAGGCATACAGCACATTTTTTAAAAGAGGAAATATTAAAATGCTTGCAACAATTCGATATTGATCTTACACAAATATATTCAACTACTTCGGACAACGGGGCAAACATGTTAAAAGCTTCAAAACTACTTCAACAAGACATGATAGATTTACAAAATGATGAATGCGAAACGACTTCAGAAAATGAGAATGATGACTACGAATTAGTACACAATCGCTTGAATTCGGTACTGGCAGTCGTAAGATGAGCCGCGCACACAATTCAATTGGCGGCATATGATTCTTTCAAGGAAATGCAAAATAAACTGGAGGAGTGCAGGAAAATTTAGGGCTAGCATAAGAAGCTGTATCAACTCTGCGGATCTACGTTTGCCACCAATTGATAATATAACTCGATGGAACTCAACATTTGAAATGATAGAATCCCTTTTGAATTTTAAACAGCATATTAATGGAAACGATATGGGATTTTCTATTGACTTTGAAATTGATTGGAACTTCATAGAAGGCTTTGTCAATGCATTTACACCAATGGCGCAATGTACCAAACAACTTCAAGCTGAACAATACATTATCGGTGATTTTTACAGAGACTGGCTTGTATGTGAAGCAAAATTAAAAAAAAATGGGGGTAAATGCGTTTGCAATAAAGTTGTTGGAATCTATGAGAAGAAGGAAAGAAAAATTGCTCGACAATGTTGCATTCCTTTCTGGTATATACTTCGACCGAAGGTTCAACTTTTTGGATTCACCGTATATTAATGATGACCAAAGGAAAAGTGCAGTGGTATATTATATTGTAAATAATCTAATTTCTTAACATTGTAAGATAAATAAAATTTTTTTATATGTGCACATATTAAGAACAAATGCAACGCTTAGTTCATTAAATGGAGATGGAAATTCAAGTAACGAAGGAATTGACCCTCAAGAGGATATACATGTTTCGCCAAATGATCCCTACAACATCTTAGAAGAAGAGCTAAATAATATGACCAGCAGCCGATTGACAACTCAAAACAGTTCCAATATTCGCCAAAAGCTTGACAATTTAGCATACGGCCAAAGAATGTCTTTCGCAACAAATGTACTCGACTATTGGAAAAATCTGTATACTAAAGAAAGAGACTTATTTAAGCTGTCTGAAGTCATTTTAGCAGTTCCATCGAGTCAAGTTTCCGTAGAAAGAGCATTCAGCGCGCTATCCACAATTATAACAAAGCAGCGCTCAAGACTAAG